CGTGGGGAGCGGGAGGCGGCGTGTCGCGGTGTGCCCGGCTACCGGGCTCTGTATCGCGATGAACGCGGGGCGACTGGGTTTCGCAGCGGGTGTGCTCTGGAGAAGCACTGGCACACGCTGCCGCGGGTGGGACCCCCTCACGGGCTTTGAAAAACCCGTCCTGGTACGCACGCGGTATATTTAATTTGCACATGGAAGACCAAAACGTAAAGGGTTTATGAAAAAATAATCACAGCTGTATTGCAAATGCAAGGACAACAAATCCACGTTATTTTCCCTGTAGGATGGTGGTTTACTTGCCAAATATCACCACATCTGTCTAGGAAGACTTGATTAGGTTCCAAGAGAAAGCAGTAACAATCACAGAGTAAAATTTAAAAAAAAAAAAAAAGAAAATGTGGTAAGTGAAAATAAAAGACCAATGCGAATGACTATGGTTATATTTTATCAGGAAAATTCACACTGGAATACTGGGTCAGGAATGTAACGTCATGTAGATTTCAAATCAAGTAGATTTCCACTTCTCTAGCAAAAGCACTGCATGGAAAAGAACTGTTTTGGAGTTTGCTGACATTTATTGTATCGTCAGTACGAAGAGCCAGACTTCCAGTGGCACTCAACACGCACTGGATTTTAATGTCCAGTGATGCAGATTTTTAGTGGGTTGTTTTTTTTTTAGAAACATGAAACATAGATTATAAGTAATTCACTTTTATATGTGAGAATCTGAGACCTCACAGCACTATGTATAACAATTAGTTTGCTTTTCCATACATCTGTAACTGACCCTACACTGTTACATCAGCAGAACAGGATGAAGAAGGGTAGCTGGGCCTATCCTTCTCTAACACGATATTGCAGGTCCCACCTAACTGCTTTTTCCCTTAAGTGGTACAGAGGAAAATAGCATATCTTACTGAGGACAGTGGCACTCAGAGACAATGACTGAGGGAAATTGCATCTATTTTGATTTATCTTGTAAAATTACATTTTTTAACATTAAATCGTAACATTATTTAAAGAATCAAAGTGGTAATTAGTTTTTAGCTTCATTTATTTTGGAGGGGCTCTTAGATACAATGAGTAGTTTCTTAGTTCTTTGAAGAATGGCTCCATAGCTTCTCTACATCCTGCATGGAGCTTCTGTACGTTCTGCATGTACAAATTAAGTGGGTATTTTGAGGGTGTATGAAGTTTTCTTTAATTTTATGGAAAGATAGGATTTGACCCATAATCTCTTCAACGTTCTGGGCAGATGTTGCTCATAAATGTTCTCATTTGGTATTTCAAATCTTCCAAAGTGAAAAGTACCCCCAAAGAAGTCTTCATTTCCACATGTTGAGTATGCATATGGTTAGATACGCTATGTGAAGTATAACTAAAATGAAAATGTGTAAATAAAGCAGATCACACTTACATCAAGTTCCACATTTTTCAAAGTATTTTATGATGCACAAGAGAAAGCTGAAAAGGTCTAAGTGATAGACTTACCTGTTGTTAACCTTAAGGCGTGCTTTGTAATTGTGCATCTTCACAATGTGTGATTGCATTTAACCTTTTTTCCCCAGACAAAATTTCCCAGGGCAAATATTCTATGCATTGTCCCATCTGTGTGTCTTAGCAGTGCTTAAACTGAGACAACCTGTGCAGCCGAAAGGTTAGTTCAGCCTTATATTTGTTTTGTTCAGTTTACTTCATGCGTGGTAATACTTCTGTTCTCTAAAGTGAACTGAAAATACCATTTTCTCACAAGTCACAAAACAGTCTTTGGTTAATAATGTTATTTGGTCATTCACCTCATGCAGCTACCGTATCCCACACTAAGACTTCATACATCTGCCGTGAGAAGTCTTTTGGACCGTTACTGCAGAGTATGCTTCATTGTTGAATAGATTCAAAACAAGAAATAAAAAAGCTGATCAGCCCAGCTATCCCTCTTTAACTTTATTGACACACTGCACTCTAATGGTTCTTTCAGAGCTACTGTGACCTACCTAGGAATCCAGCCCAACGAATCTTTAATCTTGTCCTTACCTAAGTAGTCCCATGGCTCTTACTCAATAACTATTTTGGGGGGAAGTTTGGGGAGCGTTCAGCTGTTCATTAGCAGTATGAAAAATGTGTTGTAATACATGCGTATCAGTATTACTGAAAAGCATTTCCAAAGCAATCGCTCTATATGGAGGATTTTAAAATCTTCTTCCTTTTCACTTCCTAAAGATAATTATATTTAGTAAAGGCTAAGTTACATGTTACAATGTAAATCTTTTTGTACAACAACTACTTCTAAGTTATATGTTCATAGAACAATTACAAATGACAAATATTTCATTTTCTACTTGTGGAATTCTACTGCAGTTTAAGGTCTTCTGTTTCAGAGCCACTCGGCGTTTTCTGGGCGGGGGCGGTGGTGGCACCACAGAGGCCTCTGTGGACAGTTTTCTGGACAGTACCGTGCTGTTACCATCTAAGGCACCTCCACAGACTGGGGTGGTTTGCTGCCTGGCCATGTACTGGGTCTCGCACCATCTTCCTGGAGTCGTGGCCCAGGGTAGAGACTGAGTGAAAGGACCACTAAAATTAGAAGAGTGAAGTAAGTGGGCGGTATAAATTAGGAATCACTTTTTTCTGCCTTATTGCGTCTCCTTTGTGCTAGAAATTCTAAGTGCTCTAGACTCATCAAAACCTTCCGGCTATCTCTTAAATTTTTATGGGACTTCTAAAAAAATAAACTTAGTGCTCCTAAAAAAAAAAGTGGCTAACACTAACTTGAAGAATCAGATTATTAGGGCCTATTGCAGAAGCACCCTCACACATTTCTGCTTCGCTCATAATCCCGCTGAACTTGTAGGGCCAAAACCAGAGCTGGTACAGGCTACAGTAACAAACACCGCTCCTTACCTCTGGAGGTTGAGTTTGGCTAGTAATATTTCCTCTGAAACCAGGCCACTGACTGCCAAATGTCTGCTGGTCTTGCTGCATATGTGCTGAGAAGGACATAAATAATTCTCATTTCTTGCCTCACACAGAGGTTGCACATACACTGCTGAAGCATTTAGTAAACAATGATTTGAGTCTGCTGTGTAAATTGGGAGTACTTTGAGTAGAGTTTTACAGCAGCAAAACTGATTTTGTAAGAATACCAAACGAAACTAGAATTTATTCCATAAAACATCTGTTTTCATTGGTCTTCAGATGAAAACAAAGTAAAAAGAGTATGGAAAATAAGTATTTGGGCCAAAGATGTTAAACTCCTAATTCCTTATTTAAATATCTAAATAAGTGGCCTAATCAGCAAACATGTTGAATATCAGCTTACTCTAGCAACTTTCTTGACGGAGCGTTCTGCACACTTCAGTGATAAAACTAGTAATTTGGGTACTTAAAATATGGTTTTAGGCATTCTGAAAATACGTGACCCTTACAATACTATTTTTGTGAAGCGGTCTTTTCAGATAGAAAATAAGGAATTTTGTATGTCCTGACGTGTTCTTAAAACACTTTTAATTCCTTTTCCAGAAAAGTTACTATTTTTTTCAAGGAGCTTTTCACAAGAATGGAGTTACATAATCTAGTGGTCTGATGAAGAGTAACTGACTGCAAAAGAATGTCTTTAATTTAGATTATAACTTTTTTCATTCATTCAAAGTCATTCTTCAGTTGTGTGTAGGTTCTATTGCTAAAATATTAGTATGTGTTCACTGTAGTAGTCAAATTCTAAAAATGACATGCTTAATGGCATATTCTTTTCTCTGAAATATTCATAACTCGTGACCCAAGAACAGGTTGAATGCCTATCAAAATTATGGTACTTCCTAACAAAGTAACATTTCCATCCATTTAACCATTTTTATTCATTTTAATACTGTTTCATCATACATCACTTTTACTTGATTTCAGATAGACGTAAGAATTGACAGGGTTCTGAAGACAATTAATCTGTCAGATGATTATTTTCCAGGTTGTCTAAAAGCACTATTACTTAGATTCTGTTTACTTTACTTCCAGAAGCTGCAATGAAACCTTCATCTTGCGGCTAATAATTTCTTTTCGTAGGCTACTAGCATCCCCTAAACTTTACTTTTCTCACTTCTTTACTTTGTAGAGCTTGATAATTTCTGTTTTAAAAACATTTCACACATACTTAGCCTGTGCTTCCCCTTAACTTTAGCCTCACAGATGATGTTTTCTTTTTCGATGCAGTATAACATCAAACATATCTTATATGGCCCTCTCAACATTTTCCAGATAATTCTGTAAAGCTAATTGGCAAATGTCCATTCTTTCTGTTTCGAAATAACCTCATAGCATCAGAGATTTGTGATACACATTATTTTCTTTCTAAACAAAGACGACACTTGGTTTCGATGAAATCGTATTTCACCTTAGTTTTCTAAAAGATCTCAAAATTCAAATTTTCTAAAAACTGCAAACAGCATGTATTCACTGCGGATATTGGTCAGTTTTGAGAAGGACGATAGTTGTAGCATTTGGTTTTCCCACTTTCCCATACGTGTTAATTGCTGGTATTGTAGACTGACATCTTTACTCTTGTTTATACCAAAATCATCCACCCAAATCAAAAGCTGAAGAGCCAAGGAGCTGTTTCTATCATGGCAGTTCACTTGACCAAAGTGGTTTCGTGTAGCTTTATTAGTACATGATATCTTCTGCTGTAACATTTGCTTCTTCTGTTTTAGTCTTAATTTTAGGGAAATGAATCCCACTAATGGCGATTAGCAGCAAATTTACTGCATGTGCTGTGGCACTTGCCACACAAAGCCAAAAACAGTCTTCAAACCGTTCTTCTAAGATAACAAATTGAAAGAGGTTTTCCCGAAAATTGGCAATTCTTTCTGTGAGGTGATGAAGTTTCACAGCAGCCAGAAAGCTGGTGACTGCAAGTACTATAAATCCACCTGCAAGAAAATGAAAGAAGTATTAACCGTTATTGTCAAAACAAGACAGACATTTTGGTTGTGCTTCAGAAGGCTTATTGAATACACCAGTGAGCATTATACAGAGTAGGGATAGGCTTAGGCATGGCTTTAACACCTGCAAAATGCTTTGTCTTTATTGTATGGCCAAACATCATACCAGTGTTTGTAATAAAGTCCTTTTATCATTGATATAGAGCCTAAAGACTGGCATTCGTGACTTCTGTAAGAAGCTGACTAGACACAATAAGCTGAGATGCCACCTGACAGTTCTGTTTTGACAGATGAGAATTCAGTGCTAACTTCATTTTATTCACAAGTATTTAAGTTGAGGAGATATTTAGTAAGGCAAGAGAAGGAACTTTTACTTTTAACGTTTTGTATGAATGTGACTGGTGAAAAATATTGGTAAATGATTTTACCTGCAAGGAAGTTCCAAAGGCATGCTCCTGCTGGACCTTTAATAGCCCGGTAAGGAACTTCTATTGCGTTTAAAATGCAGAATCCAAAACTGACCAGAGAAAAGAAAATGGCCACACAGAGGAACATTATAATCATCACGTGCAGGCCTGTATTCAGCTTTTTCACCATGTGTGGGAAAACTGCCAAGGAAAAAAAATCATCTACTCAGCATGTATTTTTTCTTGACAACAGTAAACATCACACTGTGCTGGTGCTACAAACTTAAATTATACTTAAACAAGGCTATTTTTTACAGAGGCCATCAATTCAGGTAGTTACACACATCTTCGTTCACTATGCTTTATTTGTCACTACATCAGACAAACCAGAGATATTCTACTGCAGGAATAATCCTTTACACAGGGTCTGAATAAGGATTCTGACTTAAGTCTTGGTTTATTTATCTAGTTGTGTTATTGTCCTTATCTCTGCTGCTGTATCGTCTGCTGCAGTCTTTTCTGTCTCTTTTTCACCCCTGCTCTTGATCCCAAACTCCTTTTTTTGAGCTTCCCATTCCTGTCCCATGCTCTTAATCTCATCCCTTTGAAGTCTGACAGCCCCAGTTTCCTTGTCTAGACCCTTGCTGCCTAAAGTAGCATCACTCCTTTCTGTGTTTATTTTCTCATGTTATTCTTCTTTCTCTCTCTGCCTCTGGCTCCACTGAGTTCTACTCACATTTCATACTTCCTAATCCCCCAGGTTTCCAATTTCAGATTCCCTTCTTGGTTCCTCATCTGGTGTTTATGCCTCCTTGATGCTTTTCTGGGTATCTGGCGGTGTTTTAGTTACATCCGTAGGAAGCTTGTGAAGTATTGCGGTCGGGTGGGCTTTAGGTGAAGTGCTCACAAGTTCTGCTAGAGGCCTGAGGTCTTCCTCAGCAGCCTGCCGCTCGCCTGTCTCTAGGGAATGGTAACCTCCTTGGGCTTGTCTTCACAGACGGAGTTACTCCGTCGGAGGGGGAGATTGGCCAGCAGCAGGGAAGTGTGGGGCACCTGAGTATTCAGTTCATCCTGCAGCCCTTCAGTAACAGAATCAGAAGAAATGCGAGTAGGGAACTGTAGGTGACATGCTAACTGACGGGAAAGAGAGAAGCTGACCGAGAAGAACCCTAAAATACAAGCTGATCAAGAAGAACCCTTCAGGTAGCGTAGCACTGCACACTCATACGTGTTTTGAAGAACTAACTGCCTAATTACTAAAAAGTTACTAAAAAGAAGGTACATTATATTATAAATAAATAAATATATTGCTTCCTATGCTGCATAATTGAAAAAAAAACCCAAACAAGCCATATAAAAAGTAGGCAGCAATAATTGGTAGAGGTCACAGTGAATATGAGCCATACAATTTGGTCATCATGACATGACAGAATTCTAGCAGATTATGCAGAAAACTTCATACTGTACAAATTCCATACAAAAATTCATGGGGTTGTAGTTGGGCCTGGTGTACATGGCAGCTACAGAAGAGACTCCAACAACAAGAAGAAAGGAGGGAAGTAAATGAGAATCAGAAGTATATGTGAGAAATGGGAAGTCAAAAACTAGCTTGCTTTCTTACTGGGAAATGACTGGCAGCATAACAACAAGGCACATGGAATTTAGCCTTCTTACAAACCAGCAGAGTTTTTAGGGTGGTTGTAAGGATTCTCTTGCCTCTTTTCTAACGGTATATTATTGCGATTCGGAATTCCAAGGTGTCAGAGCTACGGCAGTACTGCAGCGCGTGAGGTGCTAGCTTTCTGTCTTGCTCTGTGCCGCCTGTGCAGTCCCTTTATGCTAACACACTCCCCAAGAAAAGCCTCCCATGTCTTGCTCCCCAGTAAGTTCAGAATGCTTGGAGATCAAGGGGGACACTTCAAGCAAAAAAAGCCAAGTCAGACCCAGAACGCCCAGAAATCCTGCTGACCATTATGCAGAAGTATTTAACAGCTTTGTATACTATCGTGATACCATTTTGAAACCAGTATTCTGAAAATATCAAACCCGGTAGAGCTATTAAAATATTTAAAAGGGAAAATCCCTGGGACGCTTGTTTACCTAAATGCACGGTTGTGCCCACTGCACTTAATGACCCAATTTTACAGTTCTAACGGGGAGAATTCTTACTAG